TTTAAAGGACAGTAGCTCAGTTGGTAGAGCATTGGCCTTTGGGCCTGAAGGTCGTGGGTTCGAGCCCACCGTAAGACCTACTTCATGACCTCCCACTGATGTCTGCTGTCGTTGTGTCCTTGGGCAAGACACTTAACCCTACTTTGCCCAAAGCCCCCACTGAAAGATCTCAACTCCTGTGGACTCACCAGCAGGAGGATCAATGAGGGGCTGGTGCTATGTGTCCTGGGTACAGCTCTGACTGCCACCCCCCTGACCCAGAAATGGATTAAGGGGAAGAAAATGGATGGATGGATGGAATATTTAAAGGTACGTGAAGAGGAGTGTGAAAAGTTTCCGTTATTCATCCGCAAACCTTTGAGAGATGTGTGAAAATGTCTGAAGTCACTACATGGAAAATATTCAATACACACACTCACACGCACACACACACACACGCACGCACGCACACACACACACTTCAATGTTCCCAATGTTCCCTTTTGTTTCCTGTCGACTATCCGGCCTTTCCTGCCCCTTCTTGTTGGTTGCTTATTGTATTTTATTATGTTGGCATATGTTTGGCTCTTTTTTGTATTGTTGAATAAAATGTTAATAAATATAAACATCCCATAAGAGACGAGGCCGCTCCCACAATTTCAGATAATGTACAGAGGAGAATCATGTAGAGAAAAGGAGGATTCACACTGCTTGTAATCAGTCAACTTTGAAATGGTTCTTTTCAATGATATTTGACTTGCCTGTATTGATTCTGATGTCAAAAAGAGCAGAGTACAGTTGCTCCCTTCGAAAGCTTATGACAATCCAGTGGCTTCCCTTGTTGAGGCCCCTATAGCAGTGTTTCTCAACCAGTGGGCCGTGGTGCATAGGTGTGTCTTGAAATATTGTTTGTTGTGCCTTTGATGATCCGAAATCACCTCATTGGTCAAAATAATGTGAAAAGAAAAGAATGCGAGAAGATTTGAAAGACTTTTTTGCTCTTGTTTGACTTTTTATATAATACATTTTGATGAAAAGGACTTTGTGTTGGCTGCAGCGACTCAGGTTCAGCATGGGATTGTTTAAAATGAAAAAGTGCCAAGGCTCAAAAAGATTGGGACACACTGCACTATAGCATGTACCTATATACTGGGCCCTGCTCCTGTCTGCCCCTCTGCCCCCGGGCTCTTCACCCAAATCCTGACTGACCTCACCATACCTCAGTCTCGGAAATATGCGCGAAATATGCGTCACACGTCTTCCAAACTCAGACAGTCTGAAGCTGCGTATTACGAATCATTTAAACAGAAACCAAACAACAGAACAGCGTGAGAGTGTGTTGTGCAATCAGCTCTGATCTGGGTTACATTTGATTGTGAAGGACTTCAAGGGTTTGGAAGCAAGGATTTAGGAAAACAGTTGTTCCTAAGTTATGTATATTCAAACACTTTAATTGTACACATACCGTAATTAAAGTCACTTTTAAAGGCATGTTTTAGATTTATTTTGAAACAGTACTCTTATTATCAGGCTTACAGTCATGATTCCTATCTGACAAATTCAAACGTCACAATTTCACAACATAATCCCATGTTTATTTATTGGGTCAGACATGTAAATCCTCAGTATTTTATCTTTAATGTGAACAGAGATCATGTCAAAAAAACATTATACAATTGTAACAGAAGCACTTGACTCAGCAGCAGCAGTGTGTGGTTAAAGTGGAGCTGATTAGTTTGAATATTGTGAATAGATTTGCCCAGAGCTGCGGCTCAGAATCCTGTGATGGATCATGTCCCACAGCGGCGACAGCACGCGGCCATTACACACACAAACACACCTATGCAGATCGCCGCCGCTTTCATTGGAGCGTGTGCATGCTAAGGCTGCTGATAAACGATTTGCCAGCAGCGCTCGCCTCCATATTTTATCACGCCGCACAAGCCTCCGTGGTTTCGGCAGAATTGGTGTATCTCCAGCGTTCTCTTCTCCTCAGCCACAACAGCTTGGCTCCGATAATTAACAGCGCAGGACTGATGGGGCCTCACTCAGAGACAATGGGACTGGAGGACCATCAAACTGAGCTGAGGTGGGGATTTACGCACACAGGCAAAAAGCTGCAAAAATATATGTATTCTTTGGATGTCAGTGAGTTACTTTAAATTATACGAGATAGATAGATAGATAGATTGAAACTTATAGATACTTGATAGATAATAGATAGATAATTAACTTTATTGTACACATAGGAACATGACCCATCCTTCAATGGTGCAAGGTCAGTGGTCAGTGGTCGCCGTGATGCTGGGCTTGGTCAGAACTAGAGCTGGAGAATGTTGCCTATTGTGCATGTTTTTAGAGGTAGGGAAACCCAGAGCACCCGGAGGAAACCATAGCAGAGGCTCCCCTCAGAAAGGCCCTGTTCCGATCAGGATTCAAACCCAGGACCTTCTGGCTGAGAAGGACCTTCTTGCTGAGAAGCGAGAGTGCTAACCACTCCACCACGGGATGACCACATGCAGACAGATTTTTATGCTGTATCAATTTTTTCTTCCTTACTCCCAAACGCAGAGTATTTCCAGGAATAGGCAAAGCTGGTATGATTTGTAGCATTTTGTGAAACCTGACTTTAATCTGATGAAGCAGCAGCGCAGACAAGTACAAGTATTTAGGATGATGACTTAATGCAATCAGAGCGATCATGGATGCACAGGCTTTGATATGTTCTGCTTCCACTTAGAGCTGCTCTTCCTCACTCTAACATCCTCCAGACAGAGGTCCGGCCCCAGGTGACCACAGCGCGCTCTCCCATTGGTCCGAGTCAGCGCATGCTTTGTGTTAAAGGGATCATTAATAGCCGGTGCACAACCTCTGACCTCCCCTTTAAATCATTAGAGACACAGAGTGGTTCTGATTACGAGCCCCAGAGGAGCTCCGCACGCTGGTGATATTGTAACAACGTCAGCTAGATTTACAGTTTTGAAAAATAAATAAAAATATACCACATGTACGGTTTCATTTCACAAACATCGCGACAAAAGGAACTCTGAACTAACCATTTAAGGGATAAAATGAACGGTATTTCCACAATTATATAAAACGTGATGACATTAGAATGGTGTTAAAATGCCAATTTTTTTATTGCGTATTGTCCTATTTCTGTATGCAGCATTCGGGTGCGGCGTTTGTAGTAAATATCACTGTATGAAATATGTATCTGCTATTTTACATGTTTGAAATGCTGGACATAATTGAAATGATAAATGTTAACAGAAACAAGAAAACATTAGGACAAAAAAACCTGAATTTGCAGATGTTTTACATATAGTTACAAAAAGCAAACAAAACAATGTCCATACATTTGTAAATGCATTCTCTTTATGAAACTCTCTTTATGAATTGCTTGACAGTATTTGCCGGACATTAAGTCTATCTGTCACTGCACAAGACCTCGCCACATCCTCCAACCACAGCCTTCCTTACTGAGAGGTGACAGTGAAGGAACGTCTGTGATTAAACACGGCGTGGACAGTCTTCAGTTGTGATGTCCACGGTGTCTGGGGAAGTGTGTTATGGAGAAAACCCGGAGCGATGCCGTGCCACCCTTTGCTTAAATCATGTGTACAAGCTGTTTCCAATAAACTGTTAAATTTGATAAAGAGGTCTGCTATTATATTACTGGCCCACGGGGTACTTGAACCTCTGCTATCATGAATACATTTGGTCTGATAATAACGCCACGGGAAAGAGTGCAGCCCTCCTGGAAATCTAGTGCCGCATGCAGTGGCTGACACCTGTATAAATGGACAGGTGATAAGATTATAATATATTTATGCTTTCTGGGCCAGTGTTAAGGGACTTCGCTGCAACAAAAGAGAGTGTGGGGTTAGAGCGGAGCGCCACAGGGCCAAATGTTCTCAAAGACAAGTCCTTTTATTTATATAAGGGAGAGGCGGAGAAATACTGCACTGTGACACCAGAGCAGGGGTGGCCTCTTTGGGGGGCTTGGGGGGGCAGTGGAGAGCCCCCACACTGGCTATTTATCCACATAAATCTTTTTCATGGACAATTCAGTCATTCATTATTTTTAACATGTTTGATTTTCTATGAAAGGGCAATCTTTGCACAAGATTCTCCAAACAGACATGTAGGATGAGAGAGTACAGGCAAGTCTAAATTGTTTCAAACATTGAAGATACGTTTTCTCGAACTTTCCCTATGAGACAACTAAAAATTGTACTGATAAGTCTACATTTTGAATACAGTAATATCATGTCAGTCAGATTGAAATTTAAGGTTTCCCAAATATGTTTGGAAATATAAGTATTCAGTCTTAAGTCATAGGAAGACCTTTTGCATGGTTTGTCCAATAATTTGTGGACATCAAAATTGCAAGACAGATAATCAAATAATGCCAATCTGAAATAGATTCCGGCAAAAAATATCCTTTATCTTATTGAAAATAGGTTTAAAATACTTTTGCATTGTCTCAGCCTCACACCCGGAAGTGTGACATTACAGCGGGTACTGGCTCATTCAAAATGGACAGTGATTCCGACAGCGAACGAGAAACATGCGAAAAAACCTATGAACCTAGGAAGTCTATGAACCATTAACGGATGAAGAGCAAAGCGAGTCACAAGAAGAAGTCTTACCCTTTTGCCACATGTTTGAGCCTGATGCTTCCTCGGATAAGAGGAAGAGAAGAGACAAACGCAGACCCGGAAAAGGACCTGATGAGGCGTTTAGAAAGCGACTTGACGCAGATCAACACAAACACACAAACACGCCATTACATCAACAACAGCGGACTGACAACAGACACAACTTCAATTCAATTCTCGCCAACAGCACTCACACACATAAACATGTTACATACACCGCAATGAGACCGCCAGGGCCTCCCCCAGAATTTTTTTTTTTATAACAACCTCAAAAAAGCAGTTCTCACATCCTCAATTATGTTTTCATGTTGAACAAATCAATGGTTTTCATGTCAATGTAGCGTAATCCTGACTGGATTATGCTACATTGCGTAATCCAATGGTGCTGGTGTTGGTACTCTTGTTGGTGCTGGTGCTGTTGTTGGTGCTGTTGTTGGTGTTGGTGCTGTTGTTGGTGCTGGTGCTGTTGTTGGTGCTGGTGCTGTTGTTGGTGCTGGTGCTGTTGTTGGTGCTGTTGTTGGTGCTGTTGTTGGTGCTGGTGCTTGTGTTGGTGCTGTTGTTGGTGCTGTTGTTGGTGCTGTTGTTGGTGTTGGTGCTGTTGTTGGTGCTGGTGCTCTTGTTGGTGCTGGTGCTCTTGTTGGTGCTGGTGCTGTTGTTGGTGCTGGTGCTGTTGTTGGTGCTAGTGCTCTTGTTGGTGCTGGTGTTGGTGCTCTTGTTGGTGCTGGTGCTGTTGTTGGTGCTGGTGTTGGTGCTGTTGTTGGTGCTGTTGTTGGTGCTGGTGTTGGTGCTGTTGTTGGTGCTGGTGTTGGTGCTGTTGTTGGTGCTGGTGTTGGTGCTGTTGTTGGTGCTGGTGTTGGTGCTGGTGCTCTTGTTGGTGCTGGTGCTGTTGTTGGTGCTGGTGCTCTTGTTGGTGCTGGTGCTGTTGTTGGTGCTGGTGCTCTTGTTGGTGCTGGTGTTGGTGCTCTTGTTGGTGCTGGTGCTGTTGTTGGTGCTGTTGTTGGTGCTGGGGCTGTTGTTGGTGTTGGTGCTGTTGTTGGTGCTGGTGCTGTTGTTGGTGCTGGTGTTGGTGCTGTTGTTGGTGTTGGTGCTGTTGTTGGTGCTGGTGCTGTTGTTGGTGCTGGTGCTGTTGTTGGTGCTGGTGCGTTGGACAGAGCAGTGGTCCTACGCTCTCAGCCTGGTACTGATGATAAAGGCAGATCATTTTTGGCTAAAATTTCACTGTGTTTTATACAGAGACACTGCAGTCGTTGAGAATGGATCACGTTGTTTCGTTCATTTCAACTGAATCATGGTCAGTTTGATGCTTTTGTGATGCTGAAGTAAGATGGTTAAGCTGAGATGCTCAGTTTAAGTGCTTTTTTCTATCTACCTACTCTACCTTTGTTAAACTACCTACTGTACCTTTGTTAAAGTACCTACTGTACCTTTGTTAAACTACCTATTGTACCTTTGTTATAATTCCTACTGTACTTTTGTACCTTTGTGAGCAAGTTTTTTCTGTAATGAGCCCTTATAAAAAAGCTGCACTCAAAGCTAATACACAAATATTAATATAAATATTGTGAAATTCCATTTACAATGTAATATTGTAAATACTTACATTATTTGCACTATGAATAACTCGCTGTTACATTTGAGTTAGCAACAGATTTCATGCAGCAAAAACCAAATAGTCTTCCTGAAAATGTGAGACAGGCTTCTTAGAATTGTTGCAAAACACATATTTATTCCTTTTGTTTCCTCAATAATAAATGTTATTTAAAATAAGGATCATGATTGCCACGGTAACCGAACCACCAGCATTCCAGAACCAAAGGAATGTAGCTGTCGTCACGGGAACATGACATAATGTTCTAAATGACGTCATCAAAGATTCAAAGTCTACCGTGTGAATGTTTGAGCGTGGAGACAGTCCCAGACAAGAATTCATACGTTGGAGTAAAAAAGACGTAGAAAGTACGGACCGAGGATTTAACCGCGATAAACAGAACTGAGCAAAATGTCGTGCTTCAGAAGAAGATCTAAAAAGGACAAGCTTATAGAAAAGCTTGAACACTACGTGATGGAGTTGGAGGAACGACACCTGATTGTGGTTGAGGATCTGAAGAGGGAGAAACAACAGAAGGGCGAGCTGGAGAAGACTCAACAGGAAGAGAGTCGACTACAGCAGCAGCAAGTGAGTCAGCTCCAGTCTGCCTTAGAGACGGCTCTACGGCAGGCTTCAGAGAGCACCACTACTGCCCAACGCCAACAGGAGAATACTGTTCAGGAGAAAACAGTTCTCCAAGAGACTCTGAGTGAAAGGACAGGACAACTACAGAAGGCCCACGAGGAGATTCAGGCTTTGAAAGACGCAAATGCAGAAAAAGCCAAGCGGTATATGTCAATCGTCACCGAGCACCAAGACGAGAAACAGGAGATTTTTGACAGAAACCAGGAGGCAATGGACTTGTTGAACGCTCAAATACTGGATGCCAACAGCACCATAGACTTTCTGAAGACCCAGATGCAGGATCAAGAGACAAAACTGGGTACAGAAGCTGCTCAGTTAAAGACAATGCTGGCCAAGACCAAGAAAGAGCTAGAGGAGTACAGTGCAAATGTGGTCATGAAAAACTCTGTCATTGCTGCAATGGAGGCCGAAAACGCCAAAGTCAAAGCTGAGAATACAAAGCTTCAGACTCTCAGCAAACTGATTGAAAACGAGAAGGAGAAGGAGAAGGAGCAGCTGGCCAAGACCCAGAAAAAGTTGGAGGAGTATAGCGCAGATTTCCTCGTGACGAACTCTGTCATTGCTGCAAAGGAGGCCGAAAACGCCAAAGTCAAAGCTGAGAATACAAAGCTTCAGACTCTCAGCAAACTGATTGAAAACGAGAAGGAGAAGGAGAAGGAGCAGCTGGCCAAGACCCAGAAAAAGTTGAAGGAGTGTAGCGCGGATTTCCTTAGGAAGAACTCTATCATTGCTACGATGGAGGCAGAAAACGCCAAAGTCAAAGCAGAGAACAGTGAGCTCAAGACAAGAATTCTCGATCTGGAAACTCAGCTGAAAAACTTACACGCTGCGTCAGAGAAAAGACCTCTCGTGGCACGGAAAAAGTCCATGAAGGAGGTGGAAGAGGCTGTCAAGGAGGCCAGGAGGACCTCAGATCAGACAATCAAAGAGCTGCAGAATAAGATTGAATTGAAAGACAAGGCAATCAGCAAACTTAAAGAAAGCAAGCAGAAGGAGACGGAGCAGCTGGCCAGAACCCAAAAAAGGTTGATAGAGTGTCGCACCAACTCCGACCAGAAAAGCTCTTTTATTGCCCAGATGGAGGCGTACATCTTAGAACTCAAAGCTGAGAATAGACAGTTGTCGGGGCAAAGTGATGTCTGCGATGAAGAGGAGTATGAGGATTATGAGGAGTATGAAGACGACCACGAGACCATAGAAGAGTGGGAAGAATATACAGAGACTGAAAACTATTAAGCAAAGCCATCTGTAAGAGATCCAGAGCTGAAGACCATCCTTGGAATCATCTGAAGAGGAAAGAAGAAAGTTAGAGTGTGGCAAGAGAGATGAGAACAAACATTGGGAGCTGGCAGCACTGATTGAAGGAAAGAAGAAGCAAGAGAAAAGCATCAAAAAACAGGAAGAAAACCCATGTAGGCTTATAAGTGACCTGGATGAATCAGCCAAGAAGCACATTCAAGACCGCGAGATATTACACCATCAAATCTAGGAGGCAAAGACAGATGAAGCTGTGAAGATAAAACACATTGAGGCTAAAATTATGGAACTGCAGCTGAAAGATGTACACACCTCTGAACAGGACAAAGACTTGCCCAGGTGTTAATAAGACACCAATAACCCAAAAAAAAATCCCCAAAAAGACAACATCGATTCAAGGTCACTTCCACTTCAACAAAGAGATTCAAAAGATCTCAATATCACAGGGAACAGCAACATTTGGCCGCACTTCGAAATCAAAATTTACTAAAACCGGTAGATTCAGTGCATTTGCCTGTCATGATGCTAAAGCTAACAGCTAGCACATATTGGGCCTGGTCTACTCGTGGGAGGCCTGGGCACCGCTTTGATGGGAGACCTGATATTCCCACCAGGTGCTACAGTGGGGCGGCTGTAAACTCGTCGTTTTGTCCTTGGGCAAGGCACTTCACCCACTTTGCCTTGTGTGAATGTTGTGTGTGTGTGAATGGCAGGTGGTGGTAGGAGGGGCCTCTTTTGCAGCCTCACTTGCAGCAGATTGCCCAGGGCAGCTGTGGCTAGTAGCTCACCACCACCGCGTATGAAATGAATGATTAGTGTGGCGAAATGCATGAAATAGGAGGTAGAAGTAGCACTTTGGTGTCATGACTGGCACTTTATGAATGCAACAGAATCGCTAACAATGGCTACAAAATTAGTTTTCTTGCCATTGAAAGGATCTGGCTCCAGAGACTTGAGTTTGATCTTTGGTCGCCGTTGATCTTCAGATGTTAAGACGGAACAGGAACAGACTTTAAACAGAAGTGGAAGTTGTCTTGAAAATGGTCTACAATAGTCATCCCCCACCCCCTCAGCAATACAACAAAACGAAATAAAATTAAATAAAGACATCCAACGTGTGGTTTGTGGTATATTTGAAAGTCAACCAACACAAACTGGGTTAGGGTTAGTGTGTGTCTGGATAAAGAACCGATTGTGATTCAGTTTATTTGTGTTTTTAAGTATTGTGCAAATCAGACTTTGTATGTACAAACGGGAGCAAATTTAATATTGTCAAAAACGGCCAAAAAAAACTCACATTTTGCCGCTTCGCTGCTCAAACAGCGTTTCACTGATCAAAAATCCCTTTGGTCATTTTGAAGGTACATGTGTTGAGATGTGGAGCAATTTTGAGGCAAATCGGGGAAACAGCCGAGGAGGAGAAGATTTCCAACCGACATGTATGAACATTTTTGCTGTTCATTTTTCCATTTTGCAGTGAAATGTATGTCTTGACTTGAAGAACGTGTGTACTGAATTTCATGGCTCTACGACAAACTTGACCTCTGAAACTCCCATTGGCTGTAGTAGGTGGCGCTGTTCTGGCATTTTTTTTGTCCCATAAAAATAAACACCTAAATATCAAATTTATCACCAGGTCTGATGTTTGGGCAAAATTTTACAACTTTTCATGTATGTTCAGGGGGTCAAATTAAGGCTTAAAGTGCAGAATTTGACATCTCTCGAGTAAAAACCATAGGCCCTTTCCCCGTTCGGGGCTCGGGCCTAACAATTGATTTTGAAACCTTTAGTAGTTCTCTTCTAATATGAAATGGTATTAAAATGTATTTCTAAATCAATAGCAACCGGGCATAGTTCTTTAAATTAAAATTTAGCCAAAACAAGGCTAAAAACCATCCATTAAGGAATTCAATGAACAGAATCCTTTGAGGTCTCTCAAGGTTTCCACTGGTACCCGTGGAGGTTCTCTCTGGGTGAAACCCTACTGTAACTTTTGGAGTCAATACGCATCTATATGACACATGGAGGTTCCCTAACCCTAACCCTAAATTCTATATGAAACATGGCAGTATTAGTAGGTAATTCGATACTGGACAACAATAGTATTGGAAGGTTAAGAGGTTGAAGGCTAATTCTGATGAACGGATGCAAATACATGTTTCAAGAAAGATTTAGATTTGTTCCGCACATAGCACATGACTACCCCTAGTGACAGAAAGTGGAAATACAGACATTACAACATAACGGTTTATGTATATACAGTACCATTTGCTTTTCTATGATAAGAGTGATTCAAAATAGTAGTCTGGGAGTAAATAAACACATATATTTGTTATTCAGCCGCTCCTCCTCTATATTCAGTCCAGCACACAGGATCAGGCAGGGGAGAGGCACAGGCAGGTGATGAATGTTCAGTAATTGTAAGAGTTGAGTGGTAAAAAGATTCAAATCCCTGACAGTGAGAGATGGAGCAGAGCCTCAGGGGAAATGTGCTCTGTGAGGAAGAGCATCCAGGCTGTCTGAATAACAGATCACACCTCAGCCTGGCCACACGCTCACACGAGGATCAGGATGAACCACATCACAAGGTGCACCCAGATCACAACACGCACCAGCATTTAAGAGTGTGGGGAATATAAATGACGCTGTACAAATGGCTGCAGAGTTTGAGGAAAGTGATGCAGGTGATAGGTCCTTACAGAGAACTTACACTAGGTAAAAACATCGCTATAGCAAAGAGAGTTTATTGAAAGGTTTTGCATTAACCCTAACCGTAAGATGTAAGACCCCTAATAACGCGAATACTTACTTTTTACGTTTTTTTTACTTTAAATCAGTTTTTTTATTTTCATCATAGGCCTTTATTAAATGGTTAAGATGCAGTCGGATGGTAAAAGTGCCTAAAACCAAGTGAGATGCCCCAAAGAAGTCTTTTTCAGTTTCAAGCATGCTCAAAATAGATATAGGTGATCCAAATGCCTGAGGAAATCATTAAAGGGTTAAAAAAGTGTCTGCACCAGATTTAACACCATTCTCTTTTTCATCTGTATTTTTGGACATACAGATGGGCGTGGTCTTAAGATATTTCTGTACTTGTTTCGTCACGGTTTACTATTTGTCAATTTTATGATGAGTTTAGGGTTTTCCCAATTATTATTTTCTGCGCAATTGGTTGAGTGGGTGAAATAAAATCTCAGAAAGCCCATATGACACAGTGAGGGTCCCTGCATTGAAAGATTTTTGCATCCACCCATTGGCTGTCATTGGCTCTCATACACAAAAATCTTACCAGCAATAGTTATTAATGCTAGTTAATTTTTGTACATCCCAAAATCACAACAACAGTTTTCTCAAAGGACTTACTTTGCAGATAAAGAAAATAAAACAAAACAGATTAAGTAAGTAAGTAAGTAAGTAAGCTTTATTTATATACCGCCTTTCACAGACCAGAGTCACAAAGCGGTTTACAATTTTTATTTTTTGGGCACTTGTCCTCTCACTCCACACAGAGATGGGAGCGGGGTATTAACCGATATTCACTGGAATTAAGCCAACGGATTTCGGTCTCAGCCCATGTCCAAGAGGCAAGGAAAAACAAAAGTAGGGGAGAACCACAGGGAAGACAACCGAAAACTAAAAAAAGGGAAAAATTAGCAAACTGTGTCCTATGTGTTAATGTCTAGGCATGGCCAAACTTGACCAATGTCATCTCCCACAAGCGTTATGAGTTTATGAGTGAAATGATGAAGTCCTACTGTTAAATGTGATGAATAAATACCAGCGCTGGAACGACGCACGCACAAACTTTCATAACTTGATAATCAGGGCTGTGGTTATAGTTGCATAAATCACTGAGATCCCTCCACAAACAGCCCGCGGGTATCTCCCAGAGCATCTACTGTAAATACGTCTCCCACTAATAATACAATAAGACTTCATCAAAACTTTAACACTTTGTCACAAGACGTCAGAAGACAAGCCCAAATATTGAGATGTTATGCACTGGTTATTGCTGTCGATATGGGGATGCACAAGGGGGAAATGTGTGTGTACCTACAAATAATTGCGGCATTAAACAAAGCCCTCAGCTGTCGCCTAAATTCACCTTATTTACAATGAACTCAAAATCCCACTTTAATCCAACGGTCGACAGGAGAAATACAGCGGAGGGAAACACAAGGGGCAAAGGCCTTCGTCCCGAGGTCAAATTAGAGTAAACAACAAACAAACTTCTGCTGGAGTAAACTGGGAGAACTGGTATTTTTTATTTGAAATTGACAAAAATTAAAGTACACACATATATATATTGTTGGATGAATATGAGGCCGAAATTACTTACATACTTACTTTTATGTATGCTTTCATATGCATGTATTTTTGGCCTTTGTCATGTATTGTATGTAGCCAATCATCGCATGTGCAAATGATGATTTTTTTTCCCCATGAGATAAAGTTGTGGCCTTAGATGTTCGCAGATTGTTACTGTTTGTTGGGAAAATGGCCCCCCAAAAAAACTACTAACAACATATGGAAGCACAAAGTGGATGGATAGATGTAGATTGGACTTGAGTGTGTGTGTGTGTTACATGTGGATGTGTGTGCGTGTCGCTGTTTTTTTGTGTGAGCACATATTTTGTTTGTTGTTCATCCATCTTTGCCCATTTCCATGTGCAGCCATTTTGAGTACACACAGACAGACCACAGGAAGTAATATAGCTCCTGCATAAGACATCAGCTAATGGGGATTCATTAAAAACAAACAAATACCGTATCTTGGAAATGTCTCAATATCAGTTTTTTTTTTGAATAGCACATGTACAACAACCACCAGCTGCCCAAAGTGCACAAAAGATGAAAAATATAAGCAAACAGCATGAAATACGTCCAAGAAAAACTCAGTCTGTGTTATAAGCTTAAGGCATAAAATGTATCTTAAATGTTGGAACTGCAGAAAATATGGTCCCAAATTTCACAAACTCAGTCAAAAAAATGAAAGAGTAGTAGAGCTTGAACAGATGATTGACAGGAGCTTTGGGGCGACTCAACAAGACCACTATATTTAGGTGGCTGGACCCTCCCTCACTGTTAATTGGAGACTTGTATTTGACCGTCCTGTTCTCTTCCCCCCTAAAGGTTCAGGGAATTACCGCGTCTGTGTCTCTACTATATTTAGGCCGTTTAAAGGTTTGCCCAATTTTAAAAAGGGAAAGTCAAAAGATGCCATTCTTTATGACTGTCTGAGGAGACGCTCTCTGTGTGTCCCAGGACCACACCTTATATGAATCTAACAAATGCCTCAATTAGAATCTTAATTTTTCCATAACAATCTTGCATTCACAATTTCAGAAGGAGGGTTTGCCGGTTATTTTTTTTGTCTTATGGTTACTCGCTATTTTATTATTTCCATGTATTTGTTCTCCTACCATTAAAACATGTGCAATGAGTGTGGACCTACGGAAGTGAGTGAATTACACACACAAATATTCCAAGTTGTAAAGTATGGAATAAATATGATCCTGGTCTGTGAAGTGATATACACATAAAATAAAAATTACTTACAACAGGCGCCCTGTTTGAACAAGCGAATGAAGCAGTTGAATACATGTAAATTATATACAATGTAAATTCCAATACCAAAATATTATGAAAAAAGAGCAACATTTGAAAACAGTTTAAAATGAATGATGACATTGTTAAGATCTATCTATCTATCTATCTATAAAATAAAAAAAATAAAAATAGCCAAAAATATCTATAAAACACTTTCATTTCTTGTGCAAACTGTTTTTAAAAGCAAATAGGCCTGTTATCTTGTGTTCAGAGACCCAGTGTTCCAGTTGGATTCTGAAATGCATTTTTCTAATAACAGATAATACTTATGTCCTCCACAACCATCTCTCCCATTGAATTTAATTTCCTGAATCAATAGTTTTTAGTCATGTGTTTTAACCAGATACCTTCTCTAACATTGTCCATATTCACTTACCTGCATCATTACCAAGAGTACACACACTACATTGGGAACATAACACATGACATATTCACATTTCAACATTTCTCTTGAAACATTTATTGCCCAGGCATTTTATATAAATATTTATTTATTTATTTATTTATTTATTATCATGTTGTAAATAATATACTAATAAAACAACATGGAAGATCTTACCGTTGTACTCGCAGGTTTGGGTAGAGGCGAGAGCGGTCTGGTCTGACGGCTCCAGCAGATGGCAGGGCAACTATGAAGCTGAATTTGGTTTAAAGCTGGGCTCCCTAACTTTCAAACCCCTCAAAAATAAAGACTTATGTGATACAATCCTTAATTCTCCTCATAGATAGTTTTACCACTTTAGATTTTATGTTTTATTTGTATTACTTTCTTTGATTGATTGATGGAATGATGTATTAATGTATTCATTTCGAGCAAACATTTTAGATTCATACGTTTTTACAATATTTACATTACTAATTTACATAACCTTTTGGCCTTCTGTGCTTCGAGTAAACACTTACACATGCAAATATATAAACATAATTATACAATGAAGTAACAGTATTTGCCCTAGTTTCACCATGTGCTGTATACAACATGTATCTTCAAAAAGCATTTCTATTTACAATTTGTCAGCTCGAAATGGAGTGGGAAACAAATAAAAACAAACTCATTGATAGGGACAGGTGTACAAAATCAACATGTGACGCACTACAACATTGATAGCCAAGGCTAATTTTCAATGTCCGTCCTTTCACATGCATGCATTCTGTACTTGCAGGTTAGAGGAGAGGCGAGAGTGGTCTGGTGTGCCGGCTCCAGTAGATGGCAGGGTAACTACAGTTATACGGACACAGACACTGCAGAGGGAGGTCAGCTGTAGTCCACTCTCATGTGCACAGAGACCAGGGCAGAATAAACTGTAGCAGAATATGAAAAGCCTTTAAGCTCTTTGGGCATACAGCCTCACATGCAGCATATGCAAAGTGACACTGTTACTTACATGCCTCACGGTGGGAAACATCAGGCACCGGACAGCGGCGGACACCACACAAAAGTTTTTACTGAAATGGTCGCTCCGCAAAACATCTGTGTTGTGTTTCTGTTTTTGAATGCAGCCTTGTGTGAGAGCGTGATCAAGTCCGAGATTTTGTATTTGATTCTTGCTTTGACCTGCCGAAAGTTGGAGATTGAAAAATTTGCTTTGATGTTACGCTAAAGCTAGAGATAAAGTTTAAAGCTAGAGTATATTTTTTATTTTTGTATAGATTTATTGTTTATTTATCTTGTGTTGTGTGCTCCAGCTTCCTACTGTTCTGTAACTGGTGATGCAACACTGAAATTTCCCCACTGTGGGACGTATAAAGGTCAGTCCGATTGTTAGAAAGAAATTCAAAAAATGAGAAATTGTTGATAGTCAGATAAAACTTGGCTTTGTTTTGGATCAATTGATATTAACAAAATGCAGATTGATTCAAATTCCAAAAACTTTATTTATAACGGATCATTCCAATGCGGCGACACAGCCCCACTCACACATCTGTAAAGAAATAAAAATGTAGTTATTTCATTTATTTATTGTTTTTGTCGTGTATAAATGTATTTGACAGAGTACAAGTGCGATAG